CATGGACTCGTGTAATCTGCGAAAATTACAGATGCGCAATTTGCATGTTGTACAGGATAATTTTAGAACACACGGCGCGCACCGAAACGTAACACGTCACATACATTATTCATGAGCAGATGAAACTTGGCTTTTAATTGGCTCATTTTTAACATAATCTGCTTCGCAATGAAAATTATTAAACATTGTCGCATAATTGATTACTGCAGTTGTATAACATGTATAATATCCAAAAGAATCAATTAACATCGCGTAATTCGTCCAATTTACGAGTCGTATGATTATCTGTCGAGCTATATTAGACGGAGTCAAAATTAGTCGGTTGTGTGTCGCTTTATCGCTTCTAATAATTTGTCACATTCGTTGTCGATTAAACGATTCCGTCTAATAATCTCTTTGCTATATTATTCACTGCTAACTGCATTATTAAGAACATTAAATCCTTCGGTCTCAGAGGAAGCGCGCCGAATGAGACAGAACGCTACGCAATAATCTCTTCGGCTTAATGCCAGCGGTGTGTACCAAAGAGAATTCACAGTCGAAAGCTTAACTGTTGGACCCCGCGCGAAAAGCGGAAGATCAGGTCACGGTATTTCGTGGTTCGAGAAGAGAGAGAATTGAGGGGTGCCTATATAGAGACGGTGGCAATAGGGTGCATTTATATAAGGCTTCGAGCATCCCATCGGCGAACGAGGGAATAAAAATAAGCTCGATGAGATATTATCGAGCTGATAGGAAAGTCGATATTCTATTCGCGGCGCATTTTTTTTTTCTTTGTTTAGCGTTATGACGCCGGAAAAATAGCTTCTACGAGCATTTTGTACATTTATTTCATAAAGGTGCATTGACGCAAAAAATTGGAGCTGCATTGTGTACTTTGTGAATAGATGAAATAATTTTCGTTTTATTTTTTAGACTGCTGTCATTGTTTAGAATTTTTTTCATGGAGGTTATCAAATTGATTAACAAAAATTGTACAAAAATTTTAATCATTTTCAAGTTATTTCAGTTCTTGTAATATAATTATCTTTTTTCAATTTTTCTCTGTAAGCCTCTGTTAAAAATAAAAATGCTTTTAAAAATGCGGATTTTATAGGGCAAAGTTGAAAAGACGTAATGAGGCGACAGTTAGTCTCTCAACTTGTTCCGTTTTTTGTTACTCGATGTACTCTTCAGAAATTCAAAGTAACACGTAGCACTTTTTAATGAGACCTATCCTTAGTTGCATAAATTTTGGTAAATGATCCGCAACGAGTAAAAAAGTCTGCTCAACTTGACAGTTCTGAAGATAACAAGAATATCAATCTACAAAAGACTTGATTAACTTTTCACTTTGTAAAGAATTATAGAGATTTATTATAAATCTATTTGTATGCATATAATTCTAAAAAAAAGTATCGTCTGCAAAAATCTACAGTTAACGGAAATAATTTTGGCAGCATTCTTCAAGTGCATTGGAACATAACTTTAAAAGACTCCGATTTATCAGATGCTATTTAATTTAATTTACATATAATAAAAGTGATTAGTAAAATAAAATAACGAAAATATAAATATTAACAGTACATCTATTTGGATCTTCTACAACGATCTCTACGAGAATGTATAGAAATATACCTCTTACGAAAAAAGTGTGTCGTGCCTGTAAAGAAATCTGCTCCTGTTATCAGTCGATAATACTACTCGTCGTTTATTGGCTTTATTTAGAAAGTCGCACGAGCGAGAAATTTACCAGTTGCTCCACTTCTGCGAGCTGCTGGTGAAGTAGCATCTCGTTAGGAATTCACGCAGTCCTACATCTATCTTTTTCTTCTTGCCTCGTCGCCCTTTGTCTGTTCTTGTCAAAAGCTCTCCCTCCTTTCAGGAAGTTTGTCGTGCGACGTGTACACGAAGCTTTCAATAAATACATAAGCATTCTACAGCGAACTTTTCACTTTTCGAGCCAGAGGGTTGTTATTCTCTCTCTCTCTCTCTCTCTTTCTCTCTTCTTCCTTTCTCTCTCTCGAAAGAAAATGGATCGTGATGACCCGAACTGCAGTAGCGACAGAGGGGAAAAAAAAGTTTAACGATAAAAGCTGCGCTGGACAAATATGCCGTCAGAAGCACACGACGATCTCTCGTGGCTTACGAGCGCGTTGGCGATTTTACAATGTGCTGTAAACATGAAGTTTAGGTCGCAAGCATCCCGATGCTACGTGTTTTCATGAGGTGGCATTTTAGCGCTTGTACGCTACGAAAGCTGCACAATACGTACGTACGTACGTACAATCGTCGCGACTCTCTCTAGTTTGCAAAGTGCTTCGGAACTATCGCGACTCGTCCAAATTGCAGATGTTACAGAACTAAAAAAGGCGATGCTTACAATTTGCACAACGCCCTTTTCACAACTCGCTGTTTCACTTTCGCTTCTTTATCCCTTCTTTATAAAAGTATGCAGATTATACAGCAAGTACAAAAAGTACTGTATCAAAACTTTTTCCTGCAACCGTTTAGTGGACAGGATTCTATCGAGCAGCTCGCGTTAAAACTAGAATATCTTGGGAAACATTTCTCTTTTTATTCGCTCCTTTGTCATTGCGAGATACCCGTTACTCGACGAAACTTTTTCAATTAGTTGACGTCAAGAATGATGGCGTAAGAATGGACAGTGGATGGGCAAGAAAGTCCGGCACGATAAATGGCAGCGTGCATGTCCTATTATTATCCTGAGAGACATTTCCGGGACGCGAATCGATTTTAGCGGTATCGCTGGATCGATAACCGGAGAAAAGGGAGCATACGTGCCAAGCACATAATCAGATTGGCCGAATCGAGATTGATCGATATGGATCGAACGCGGAACAGTTCTAGCAGCCCATGAAGGTCATTCTGAATCGAATTAAATTCTACGAGACGAATCGCTCTCTTCGATCACGTTTCGCAATCTAACGAGCATGTCGTACTCTGAATGTAAATGGTTATGTAATGGTACACACAGCGTGTCATTCTGTTTATTTAGTTTTTGTAATACGGTACATAATGTAAAACATTACTGCTAATTATTATTTTAGAACAGTTTTAATTAATAATCAGTCCTTGTGTCATTATTTATTCTTATAAAAAAATGGCAAATGTACTTCAAATATTAAATATTGTTACGCGAATAGGAAAAAGTAAACCACTGTAAAAAAAAAAAAAAAGAGAAGAAAAATTTCTGAAAGGTTTCTGAAAGTCTTTTTCTCGCAAGACCTATAAAAAATATAGACAAGGACAATGACGTTGCAAAGCATAAATTACGAGAAGCTGGTGGACGGTTAATTATAATGATCCTTAAAGCTTTCATTGCTGGGAGCGACTATACTAACGCCGACAGTAGATACTTAAGATGTAATACTTTTCCGCCTTCGGTGATGCCGGCGGCATATTAAATCGTTTCACAGTGTTTTATTGCGTCGAATTAAAGGCTAGCGATTAATGTCGGATCTGCGCGTTTCCACAAGCATAACGCAGCACGCACGCAGAGCGTACGCAGAGAATGCGCATTCACAGCGCACGTCAAATGAATTTCGTCGGACGTACGTTACGCGCACGCCAGCATAAAAACGAAATGGTTAATGAAGGCCTGAAAGAGAATTTCGCAAGACGGTCGTAACTCATTTTCGGGGGAACAGCGCCGCGTTCTTCATTTTTGACCCTTCTCATTTGTAACGGTTCCGCAATTATCGCGGCGCGAAAACTTCTTGTCGTCGTCGCACTTTTTCACAAAGCGATTCAGCATCCAATATATTTCTCACACAATCGTTCCCCTGACAATTCTCCCCCGCCGAAAACCGCGCAATTTAATGTATCCTAATTATTAATTAAACACATTAATTTTATATAATTACACACGTACTTTTATACGATATTGATGATGGTACAATCAATTTGTATCGGAATGATAAAAATTAAATTTGATAAGCCATTTATTTATTTTATAATGCTGTTAACGTGTGTGTATTGGAAACGCGATGAAATATATATTTTATGATCGTAAAAGTGATATTACAATTTATACGCGTCGTATAAAGACAAAAATTGATAATTAACATAATGATGTTCAATTAATTTCACTCGAACAAAATAATCTAAATTCTTAACATACAATTTTGAAACAATGATAGTTGAATGAAAAATTGCGCTACAGCATTATATAATTATTCATTATTAATCCTCAACTACAGTGAATCATTTGAACTTGAGTGAAAATTTTAGTCTACAACTATTTTTATAAGATTAATATTATAGAATTAAAGTAAGGGGATAAAAAAACTTGGAATCTTTCTCGATCGCCGTCGTTTCATTGTTGTCTTGACGCTAATTGTGATGCAATAAAAGTTCGGCTTGAACGACTTGGATCTGTCAAATGTAAATTCCTCACTTCAATCGTGCAAATAATTATACTTTTTAGAATGAATCAATATAACGTATTTTTTTTTCTTAAAGTTCACGGTTTCCTCTTTTCAAAACATTACTTATTTTTATCTGTATCTTTTTTTGTCATAAAGATATGATTTTTTGAAGAAAACTGATTATTGTGTTCTTTTCACAAATTATTCTTTAATATTTTTTAAACATAATTTTTTCAATCATTATCACCTTTTTATGTTTCGATATCTCGATTTTATACATTCTAGCATTTCATTAAAAAAAATTTTTTTCATTGAGATTTGTAATAATTACATAGCCAATCAAAAAAAAAACGTCGTGGATGACTTGAATCCAGACAAATTAAGATTCTAAAACGAGACATGTAGTTGAGGATTATCTTATATCTGTCAAATAATATTTTATTTTAATACAACTTTTATTAATTATATAATAATTAATAAATAACTTTTACTGATTATGGTGATTAATAAATTTTCCTTAAGCAAAAATACAATCCAGAAAGATCTGCTGACGATCTCGATCTCTCTGGATTTCTCGGGGAAAAAGTGAATACGATTAGTAATCGATTTGTATCTTTCCTTTGGACGCAGCTATTCGCCGGGACTGCCTGTATGTTCAAGTCGCACAACAAGGTTTGTTCTTTTTTCTTTTTATCGTCTGCTAATGTTCATTGGTGTCACTCTCTAATACGTCGATGTTCCGTTGGTGTGTCATGGCTATTTTCTTTACCCTGTTTCTCATCTATGTCTAAATCCTTCTACGTTTTTCGTAAAGGTCTTAATTAACGTTCACAATATTTGCACATAAAAGAACGTACACACGCTGAATTTGCATCGCAAAGTGTAATACGAAGATTAATTCGAGCCTCCTTTCCTTGATGTCACCGCTGTTTCGTTAGTTAAAGGACGAAATTAATTGTTTCGCTGCTTTCGAAGTCGCAGTAAGACGACGTGAAAGGGACGACGAAGATAAAAGATAAGAGAACAGGCGACAAAAGGGGTTTGTAATGGATTGAATTAAATTGGCAAAGAGATCCGTTTTGTGACGTGAATAACAATGCTTTTCTGCTATCTCTTCAACATCCCACAAATCAGCATCTAAAATTTCATATTTTTTGTCTCTGTATCTCGATTTCAAATTAAGATTGTAATATATATTGTATTATAATATATATATTTGCATGAACAATTTTGAATTTTTTATTTATCTTAAATACATATTTATTGAAGTCTTTTTTTTTACTAAGAATTAAACTTAATTTTAGAATAAACGTTCCTGCCTTTAATTTTACATACAGCCGCATGCTTTTTCCGCTTGTCTCGTTTCTTAAAAGCTGAGAGGACTTGCATGCCTTAATAATGCAATCATTGTTCGTCCTAGATAACTGGTATGTTTCCCGTCTTGCCTTTGGTTCGTCTGTTGTCACGTATCCAGTTTTTCTCACAGAATAAATCGTAATTTCCTTTCTACGCACGTAGTCCGTTTCTCTGTCTCGTCTGTGCTTACTTTGCAATGAAGCCATGAAAGACCTACCATGTTTATCTATTTTACGTTACTTATCATCAATAAACGCGATGCGAATAAACGACAAATAAACACAAGCACGATGTCTGCTCTTTAACCTAATTCTTTTACACATGTAATCATATTATGTAAATTAAAACATTTTTTGGTATGTATATCATTGAACCAATATTAAATACGACAGGAATGTCGATTGGAATAGTGATATACAAGTAAGTCAATAATAAGTTCTAATATATACAGTATATATAAGATATTTTACAATTAATTTTAAGTAAAATATTGATGATTGAAAATATTGATTTTTCTAATGATATAAGTCAATAATAAATTCTAATATATATATATATATATACAATATAGATAAGATATTTTACAATTAATTTTAAGTAAAATATTGATGATTGAAAATATTGATTTTTCTTTTTAAAATGAGAAAATTTATATTTGCAAAGATTCAACAATTTTTTCTCTCGTGCTTCTTAAAATGAAGAGTTTATATAACTTGCTCATTACTTATTTACTTTCTCCAAATTTTATTTGACAAATTCTGTTTAGTAATAATCGTAGGAATAATTATTTTTACTGCTTACACACACACACACACACACACACACACATACGCACGCGCACGTACACACAAGAATTCTGTCAATATCGTGGAAAGTTCACTATTAAGGATCTCGAATAAGCGTACACGTGGAATTCTATTAATTACGTTCACTAATATCCCATCAATTATGTTACCTGAAGCACTCGAGCAGCAAAAGAAGTCATGTGTGAAAAGAATGCGATTACTAATTGGCACTGCTGTGGGTTGTTCGTTGGCCAACAACGCTCTTCGAGACTGACTGTTCACACTGCTCTTCGCGTAATTGGGCACATTTGTTCGCGCTGGCTTGGTAATTGCAGCTAACATGTTAACTGCAATTGCGGTCGCGCGCAGCTCGATCGCGAATACTCCTTTTTTTTATTCTTCTTTAATTGATCGATCCGCAAATGAAGTTTCGCCGCTGAAATTTGTTCCGATACGTGTCTTCTTGGCCGTTGGCAAAGTGAGCAACCAGTTGGTGCTATTAAATGTGAAGGCTTTAATGAATTCTGATGTGATTGAAATAAATGGCTGCACGTGCTTTCGTGTGACTTAATATATTAATGATGTAATGAATATGATACACATTTCCTATTGTTTAGTATCTATCGTGATTTATATGAACTGTTTCGATTCTAGAATTAATGAAGTTAATTATATTTTTTATGTTATATTTTCGAAGAATATTAAAAATTAAATATTCTGTTGCTTCTATGAGATTATAATTTCACGTTTTTATATATTGGAATATTGAAAGTTATTTTATATGCTTATATTTCTGTTTTAATATACTATATTTCATATACTTGTATGTACATATATATATATAAAAGAATATGTTAATACTTGATTAATTATTTATTTTTAATTATAATTAAGTATGTAATAAAAGTCGATAAATTACTGTAATACATTATTTTGAAAGAAAGAAGACAAGAAAAAGCCTGAGAATCGCGAAAACCGTCTAATTATCAAATTTACGTTAATTGATTGATTGATACATAATTATTTATTCTGCAGTTATTTCCTCGCACTATATAGCCTGAATTATACTCTTTATTTTGTGATTGAAATTAACGAAATATGTATTCTTTCGTCATGAAAGTTATTATAGATAGATAAATCATAAATTTTGTCGAATTTCATCAATATATCCGACAAGTGACGAGCGCAGATGCCGGATACCTCTGCAAAATAAATCGCGATTAACAGTTACGTATTCATAATTAAAAAAGGGAGGAAGAGGAAATTGTCGACAAAAAACGAGGGAAAAGTGAGCTGTCGACTTTCGAATTTCACGCGACCCTGCGGCATGCCTGTCGTCCAACGAGCTTTAATTAGTGACGTCAGCTTGTCGTCAGGTCAATTTACGATATTCCAAGATAAACCAAGCCAGACATGCTCCAGTCGCCGCCCAGCTTCGTTCTAAATAACTCCGATCCGTATCGCGTGTTTCGCGGATATCCATGGACATCCAGGCGTGACACAAAGTCTACTACAGGTCTGCAAACATTGTTCAGGAATGATTTGTGCGTCTCGGAAAGTTGATGATTAACTAATAATATATTCGATGTACATCTTATTGGTACAGTTCGTAGACAATGTCTGCAAGTGTGCGCTGGTTTATTATTCGATGACATCATGGGTAATGCGTTTAATTGTACGACACGAATTTGTTAACTCGTGCCACGACGATGGATGTCATCCGTAGTTACGTGAGTATCTAGTTTTATGCTAGGATAAATGTATAGGTAAAGTTTCTTTAATATACACGCACGTCAAGAAAACTTTTGGTCCATTCTTATTCTTCATTCTCGACGGGACAGTAATCTTCAAGAAATTTGTCAAAGAGTGGAAATATAATAAATTGAGGAACTTTAGTCCCCTGCAAGAGAAAGAGAGAAAGAGAGAGAGAGAGAAATTTAAAAAATGTTATTTTCTGAAATATTTAAACATTTTTACAGATTCAAACACTTAAAATCTCAAGAAGAGTCAAATCATAGACTTGAATTTGTGATTATGTGTAATTAATCTTCGTACGACAAATGCAGTCACTTTGAGCGATAAGACAACTCGAAATACGGTAACGGTAATTAATGAAAAACTATCATGGGGTTATATTTGTGTCGATAATGATGCGAAATACAGTACAAGGTGTTAAAATTGTAATAAATTTGTGTATAAATTTGGTGTATAAATTTATTTGTAAAATTTATACATATAAAAATATAATTATTTCATAATATCGAATGTACAGAATACCAAAGAGAGATAAAATATGTATTTTTCACACACAAAATGCGTTTTTATGTATAATTCCTTCCCAAAACTAGTTTGGAATAGAAATTATATTATGAGTCAAAATGACATTGCATTTGTCTCTTTCGTCCGTCAAAAGTCATTTGCCTTCCGGAGTTTAAAGGAAAATGTAAAAATTTGAATATTAATCCTTTGAAAATTGGAGCTTTTTTTATAAATAAAGAAATTTTAAGACGACCATGTTTTTTAACGGTCTTCGAGATCAATGAATCAAATTATTTTTTTTAAATTTGATTATCGTGAAACTCAGTTTTAGGGGCTTCTTGATATCGTTGAATTTAATGTGTAACCTGAAAATGTTGAATTTCAAAGGGTACTTTCAATCAAGGAGATTCTTATGTCATAGGATTCATAATCAACGTTTGAAAATCAGTTTGAAAATCAGTACTGTTTGCGTAACTGATGAGCTTCAAATAAAGCGAAATTGGAAACTTCATATTTCATATATACTTTTACGAACAATATACACATTTGTGTGTGTGTGTGTGTGTGTATGTGTGTGATGTGTGTTTGTGTGTTTTTGTGGGTATATGTGTGTGTGTGTGTGTGTGTGTGTGTGTGTGTGTGTGTGTGTGTGTGTGTGCGTGCGTGCGCGTGCGTGTGTGCGTGCTGCGTGTGTGTGCGTGTGTGTGTGTTTATATACATATATACAGGGTGTCCCAAAATAATCTCCAAATATTTCATGGGCAGATAAAGCGGACTAAGTCGAAAAGTCCTTTATCATTTTGCAATTTTCGCAATATAGTTAACGAAATATTAATTACTAAAAATTGCCGAAAATTGATTTTGAATAATTTTTTATTCAAATACTATTAACTTTACAGAAAAATTGCAAGAGGCAAAAATTTATTAATTTTTTTCATAAAACTCTAAGAATTTTTTCAAAATTTTTTCAGAATTTTTTAATATCATATTTCCTCACGTTGGTAAAAATAAGAAAATGCAGAAAATGCATACTAAAAAGTCTATATATATATAGAAAAGTCATATAAAATATAATGATAAAATTTTTAAAATTTTGTCCGTTTCATATTGGAGCAAATTTTTTATTTTTAATTTTTTTCTCAATTTCGAATGAAACATTATCAAATTACTCTATAATAGTTTTATGAAAATTGAGTGAATAGTTTACAAAATAAAAGAATGTAATTCGAAATGGAGTCGTCAATTTACAAATGATTCAAAAGAAGTGAAGATTCAAAATATGAATAAAATCAATTTTATAGAAATTGAAATGAAGATTTTTTTAAAATTGTCTTTCTTTTAATCTTCCTCTTTTGAGATTTTCTTCTTCTTCTTCGCTTTAAGATTTTCTATACTACGAAATTTTTTATATCCAATTTAAGCCAAAAATTTATAGTAAAATAAAAATTAGCGTGAAGAAATTAAGTGCTTTGCACTTCCTATAGCAAATTTTTCCTATGAGCAAAATTTTTTTTTATATGTACGATATGACAAGGTAGGCTTGTTCAAGACACCATCACTCATTTCGGTGAGATGATCGCTCGGAGTACAAGTGCTTCCAATTAAGAAGCCGATGTTTTAATGAACCTCCAAGCATACCGTTATCATTGCTTCTTAAAGTTGGTTCGCGAACTCGAGATGTTTATGTGGCACAACCTATCTTATTGATATTGCGATCCTCTCTATAAAATTATCAGTTTTCAAATTATGATATAATTAAGACTTTGACTTTTAGAGATACTTTTGTGACTGGAAATTTCAAAAATAAAATACTAAATTTATGGAAGCGTTACAGTTTCTTTTACTAATTCTTTATGACCATTTTGTGCAAATTAGCATTTCGTGAGCAGATGAGTAAGGAGAAGCTAAACTCAGAGTAAAACATTAAAGTTACAACTTAAGCAGTTACGACTTATCAAAGTTGTGTTGTTCTACTTAATTAACTGTATTTTTTTTCTGTAATTTATTCATTATTCTTGTTATATTATTATCTTTCGACGTAACCAATTAAAATATAATAAAATCGAAGATATTGCAAATTAAATATAACCTATTTATAAATCAAACTTTTTAATCATTTGCGTATTACAACAATAAGTATCGCGCTATACTCTCATTTGTCTGTACGTAAAAAATAATTGTGTATTTGTGTTGGAAATGATCCATTTACGTTCTTATTAACTGTTTGTATTTTTTTAACATATTTGGATGTTAATTTAACATAATGTGATTATGTTATTTAAAGATTTTGTGTTAAATTGATATGCAACGTTTCTTAGTATCAAAATGACAATGTATGAGTAAGTGAACAAGTAATAAAAAAATAATGTGTTTCAAAACGTAAGTTTTAAGATGTATGAATGAAATAGTGTTAATTTAACATATCATAAATATTAATTACACTAAAAAAATGTACTTCCATAGTTTGTTTACAAATTGTGTCAATATTACCTTTTTGTGATCATTCTTTTATACGATATTTGTGTTGTTTTACTAACATATTCATTTATGTTAAATAAACACAAAAATTTGAATGGACTTTTGGGACATGATGCACTTGTAAACAAACTTGTAAACAAACTATAGAAATATATTTTTTAGTATAATTAGTATTTATGATATGCTAAATTCATCATTCATTCATCTTAGAATTCTCGTTTTAAAATACATTTTTATTTGTTCCCTCATAAATTGTGTTATTTTCGCACTACACTCTAAATCTGTAACAATGAAATTTCACTGCATTAAATTGAAATTTCAATACAGGAATTAGTGGCAATTACGCCAATGTTGCTGCCAGTGAATTTTATTGAAAGATGAGAATGGAAAATCCATTCGATAATTAGAATGAAAAATTTACTCCAAAAAGAAATGAATTTGGAGAATAAAATGACAGAATAAATCCATTCCAAATCCAGATAACAAAGCTCATGGACACAAATTTTGAACAGAGCATGCTATTTCAATCTATTAACCTATTAACTTTATTTTTAATTATTTTATTCTGTCTCTTATATTTATGTGTCTCAAGATGCATCTCGCCCGTAACGACCATGACAAACATGCGACAAATGGTGCGCTATTTCGCTAAATTCACTCCTTGCAGTAACATTCAATGCATCTTGCAATGCATTATCAACTAATGCTTAAACCACTTTGATTAATCGAATGAAATAGTCCACTCCTTTATATAAGAGTAGACGAACTAACTTCAAAGCAGTGAAAATCCATGCTTAAAGCAATGACTTTGCTACTCACTTTTGTTAGCAATAAAATTTTCATTGCTACAGATTTAGAGTGTAAGAAATATTGAATATCAATTTGACACAAAATTGATAAGTAACATAATTACATTATGTTAAATTAACAGTCAAATATGTTAAAAGATCGAACACAAACTGTTAACAAGAACATGAGTGGACCGTTTCCATTACGAATATACAATGTTTCTTATTGCGTATGTTACTAGGTTTTCGTGCGTATTTTTACTAAACTGATTTTTTTCTCGTTAATCAGAGTTAATCAGAAACGAAGCTCTTTTAAATCAAACTCGTCGTTATCAAATATGCAATTGGTCTCGGCACGATTGATCATTGATCTCCTCTTCCCGACGATTACTCCAATTTAACGCGGCGGGCGATCTTTTACTTTCAGTTGGGCGATGCGATGTTCGTCGAGCTGCCACGCGTCCGCTTGGATGGCGGCGCACGTGCTTTTCGGCAACATTGGGGCTACGAGACACGACCGTTAGCACCACCACCACCGCTAATCGAGGAGGATGAGGCAGCCATCGAACCGGAAACTGTCAGTCTTCGGGAAGCTAACACCGCATCTCCGATAGGTGAGTACCGCTTCGATCTTAATATGATCGTCTCGCGATGGTCTCATTTCTGCGAACAGCACCGATTTATTTTTCACGCCGAGCTGCCGTCGGATTGGTATTGAATTTTACATTACCGTTTTGCGCGATATTTTAAATGATACGTCGAATTTCTTGCTAAACTTTTAGCATTTATACGACGGGCTTACATTTTTCTGAATTTTTTCTTTAAGCAGGTTGTCAGGGTATAAAAACATATATATTAATTATTTATATATTATTTACACATGTGGACAAAGGCAATGTAGTGGTTGCAATGAATACATCAGATTACGTTTTAAAGGTGGACTCGATGCTCAATGATCGTATATATACGATATGTATATACAAATTGCACGTAATTCGGTAAATCACGGATTTGAAGAGATATTGAAAAGATGGAAACGCAATGATGCTAATTATAAATATCTACACACGTCAAATCCAATTTTACCTCGAGCATACGATGTTCTTAAAGTTCATAAAATTGATTATCCGCATCATAATTTTCTCCATCGAAAGCCCATTATATAATTTGGCGATATTCTTACACAAAATTTTGAACAAAAGTTTATCTCCGGCTAAAAGTTTTATAGAGAATAGCTTTCAACTCACTAAGAATATATAGTTTAAAAATTTCTAATGACAATACACTCTTTTCGTTAGATGTAGTTTCTCTGTTTACAAATGTATCAGTAAATTTAGTCATGGACGGAATCAATAAAAGATGACATAGATACAGATTAATACTTGTTTGATTAATGGAGTTTTTGACACCATATTACGATTAATTCTTGATTTATCATTTTTTATCTTCAAATTTTACAAACAAACCTTGGAAGTATCCATGAGTTCCGTTATCCCTCATAATTTCAGACATAGTCTTACAAAATTTAGAATTAGTTTCTTTTAATAAATTAACAATAGAGCTTTCATTTTATGTACGTTATGTAGACGATATTGTACTTGCAGTTAACAAGATACATATTAATGATCTTTGTCTCGTATTTAAGAGTTATACCCTCAACTTAAATTCACATTGGAGGAGGGAAGTGATAGATTAAATTTTCTGGATGTAACCTTGATGAAGCACAATAACTCCATCATTTATGACTGGCACCAGAAACCTACGTCTTTGGACGCTTATCTATTATTCACAACATCCTCTGTCGGAAGGTTAGAGTTATAGTGAGTTTAATCGATAGAGTGCTCTTTTTGTCACATCCTTCTTTTCATACAAAGAATTTTGATAAGATTATTGAAATATTATTAAACAATAGTTAGCCATTACATTTGATCTTCTCCACCATCAAAAAAAGATTGCACAAAAAATCTAACTTATGAAATAAGCGCGTGAGCAATAATGAAATAGAACAATACAAAAATAACAAGAAAACAGATATTTTTTACAATATCATTAATTTCTGACAAAAATTTTCTAAAGAATATTAATAAAGCATATTCAATATAGCATATATTATCAAATTGAATTATTTTATTAGAAAAAACATAAAGATAGACTTCCACAACATACATGATGTACACTAATGTGATTTATAAGATGAAATGTAAATAAAAGATAAAATGTAAGGAAAGAAACAAAAGTTTTTTTAATGATAATGAAAATCTAAATTTTTTTTTATAAGTACTTCCAAGTATTAAAAATGACTTATGCAAAATTTTATTGAGATTCACCAATTAGTTTATAACAAATAAATATTTTGTTTATTTACTGAATAATATCTGCATCTCAATGTAATTTTATATAAATATTCTTGAATTGATAAAGTACTTATATTTACAAAATTGAGATTTTTATCATTATTTTATAATACATTTTCATATATTTCTATTAGAGTACAAATTAAAAAAATATTATATTTTATTGAATTTTTGACCCAGATGATCAATTGCTTCTAATTTTTTTGTATTATTTTTGCAATTTAGAATAATCTATAATTTTTTCAAATAATTCTTAATTGTATTTGCCTTACAATTTCCTTAACCCTAGTAAGTTATTGTTGTTTTTGGTTATTTTTCACTATGCGTTTAATTTGCGATCTATATGATATGTATCTTTGTTTAACCTATAGAATAAACAAGGAGAACCATTATATATTGCAGATTAAGCGCACGATGTAAACGTAGTCAGTATGATAAGAACTTAAGAGAAACTTTAAGCAAAAGTAGTTTTTTAATGATAAATAAATTAGGACCGTCATTTATTTATACCATTTTGAAAATAAAAGTATTAAAACTATTATATTTAAGTTATTCTTTATTCTAATATTTCTTTATTTTTAATGAAATTTTTATCTAATCTCTCTATAAATGATTTGAAAGAATATATATTATAAATATGTAGAAATGGATTTTCTTATTATATTTTTAAAAAATATATTATATTTTTTGCACTTTTTAAAAATCTATAGATTACAGATCCTAAATATCTACAATTAAATTATAATTCTTTAAAAATTAAATTTTTTCCGTGTTAATTCCGTCAGATATCATATATCTAATATGTAAATTTTGATGAATATACTTGGAAAATATGATAACTGCCATTATATAAATATGTGCGTGGATAACTATTGTTACTAATATATATATATTAGTAATATATATATTACGTGAATAACCATTTTGAAAACATTGGAGACAATTCTGTTAATTTTAATTACAATGAAATAACGAGTCTTTAATCTCGCGTTTGTGTCTCTCATACAATGAGCTCGCACGATTTCGTCGGAATCATTGAAACGCTTTGTGTCCGCGGAAACGCGTTTAGACGCGGTGTTTAACACCGGTTAACACTTTGTCTTTGGTATAATAGCGATAGAATCGGAGTCGGTCGACATTAATTGCGCTTTGTTCGAATTGTTACTGGCATCGCTGCGACTGACAGACACCGCACGACGGTGCGTCCTTAACGAGTTGATATTGTTCAAAAGGAATCAAGTGCACTTTTCCCCTACCTCTCTTTTCACTCTGTTTTTGCAGCAACGCGAAAGGGCAGTGAAGAAAAAATACAATTATACTTGGGAAATGAAATGGGACGTTTTACATTTACAGCGTCACGAATTTGGAACACGAAAAAGATTAGAGAAAGAAAGAAAAGGAATTACTTTGAAATTAAATCAAATTTTCCGAGCTTATAATATCATAACTTAAAAATATATTTTAACAAAATTTGTACTATTTGTATATTTTAATTTTATTCTAATTTTTTACACACACACACACACACACACACACACACATTGCAGGCACGTAGAATAGATATATGATATCTGACGGAATTATCACGGAAAAAATTTAATTTTTAAAGAATCAATTTAATTGTAGGTATTTACGATTTTTAATCTATAGGAGATTTTTAAAAAGTTCAAAAAATATAAATTTATATTTTTTTAAAATATAATAAAAAAATCCATTTCTACATATTTATAATACATATCCTTTCAAATCGTTTGCAGAGAGATTAGATAAGAATTTCATTAAAAATAAAGAAATATTAGAATAAAGAATAACTCAAATATAATGCACGCACACACACACACATATATAAAGTTATAAGAATTCCTATTATAATTATGAATGCATTTATGATCAAATGAGAAAGGACATTGATTTGTTGTAACTTTTTAATGAACCTCTCTTTTTTAATGATATGTAAACAAAGTAAATGCATCTAAAATGCTTGAGATATTTAGGATAAAGCAGTTTCCTATAACAATTATTTTATTAATCTGTGATACCGCAATAGAATAAAATATAATTTTGCAAGCTTATTTGTAGGTATTTTTTAAATCATACGTTGCATTTCAGTAAATTAATATTAATTTTTTGCATAACGATTCTCATTGTATTACCTGCTTTACCGATACATATCTGCCATATCATCTATGAGAAAATACGATTTTACAGAAGCTTTTGTTACCAACTGTCGGTATCTTAATTCTTCTCATAGCTTATAGATGGCAATAGAAGTAAAGAATTTGTTGGTTGTAAAATCATAGGAATCATTAAACAATTGGGCTTGGTTAGGCTTAGCGAACTTATAGAATGTATAAGTTTTAAGCTTTTTATTATAATGTAATCGCATTTACACAAATACATATAATATTTTTATACAGTTTATGTAATTATAATAATGGTTACCGTAATAATTATTACGGTAAGAAGTCAAAGTAAATATAATATAATTCGTAAGACAAACAAGATTTATATGTGTTTGCAATAAATAAAATAAAATAGTACATATTTTTATGTATTATTCTTGCGCCGCCAAGAAAAAACTTTTAAAATAAATATTTCCGGATTTGTGTAACAATATGATTATTAAAATATTAATGGCTTAATTAATTATTTTATATTTAAAAATTATTTATAGTTAGTAAATTAATAAGAAAGTATATTATACGTTACTAATTTTTCTTTAAGAATTTAAAAATAATTTCATAATATTATATAAACGATTTAATAAACGAAATATAATTAAATCATACAAAAATATTTTGTTCTTTTGTCATTGATTAATGTTATTTCGAATTTTAAAGATATATTTTGCGAGCCATTGTATTGCGAAACTTGTATTGGGCTTCGCAATACAGCATTTTATTGTTGAAAGAGTATAAGAAAGAAAAGGGCTTCTCGAGCTTCTCTCTTGCGGATAGATATAACGATGACCCAATTCCGGTAAGAGTTCCGAGAAAATTCTATTTCTCTTTTGTGTCATTTAAAAGTCTCATTGTAGAACGAATTCCATTTCATTATTATGCGCGTGGGAGTTCGATGAGCCAGAAAATACAATTACAGATAATAGTCCCGATAAAGCGACGTTGTCGCAAGAAAAATATTATTTGTCAGAAAAATATTATTTTTTGTATATCTAGTTAAATTAACCAACTTATTGGTCAACTTATTTTATATGAAAAAATAATCCCTTTCTTCATCTTATACCCAATGTGTCAATACATTTATTTATTTCATCTTTTTTAATTGATTTTTTTCACGGCCTCGTATATTGTTCTTTTTTCCTGCATGTATATTCACGCGGAAAAACCGCTTTCGCACGAACGCGCAATGACGATGCAAGGATAATGGTGCCGACAATATAGATTTTAATATATACTGGTGGCCTTCGATACCCTCGTCACGTGCAAATATTATCATCGATGCAAAAACGATGAGAATTTTTAAAGAAGCGTAAATATCCAATTCAGGAGAAACTTATGCACTAATTGGCGAACAACCTTTTTCTTACAGGATGCGGCTTTGATAAATTTTTCGTGTTATTTCGAATATATCAAGCGATATATTTTTTAATTAGATTTTCCACTTTTAAGAAAGTTAAAAATATTAAATCGATACTCGAATTTATCGAAGTATTATTGATCAGTTTCTTTTGATGTTATATCACAGTTATTTATCGAGGAGTTAATAATATAATAGTAACAATATTAATTATATACAATATTAGTTATGTATCATATATACATTTAAATATTCAAGCATTTAAGCAAATATAGTACAGTAGAAAGTAAAAATATTAAACTAAGAATCTCATAGGGCTGTATAATACACCGTCAATATGTGAATACACCATCAATAGGAGACAAGTGCTTTTTAACGGTAGTTGAATCTTAAGTGCTTATATTGTATTATAGATGATACAGGATATCTCATGGGAAGGTGTTGAAACTAATCAGCTGTCATTTTCTAATATATTTCAATTATTACAAAAATTGCATTAAAAAGAGGAAAGTCGGCAATTTTTAATGAGTAGGTATAAATAAAATTTAACGTACAAATATGTATGCATACAAGTTTCATTTTATTGATGAATAATGTATTAATAATTTAAAAGATTTAATATTTCTGAAATATGTATTATTTGTATAAAATAATAATAAACTTAATTTTTTAAACGAAAACTCGTAAAAACATTTTTCCTACATGTCGTTTTTATTATAGTGACAACCTTTTTAATAGTTGCTGCTAAATTTTAACAGTTTTTTTATTGCGTCTATAGTTTGGATATTAATCATGAGCTCGATTATTAGCATATTTTTCATCAATAAAGTAAACTGATATGTTGTAACAAACATTTTGTTAAATATTGTTTATATTCATTAAAAATTACACTTACTTTTCTGTTTTCAATGCAACTT